ACATGTGGGCTGGCACTGAGTTTTCAGTGGCTGAGTTTGCAGCTGGAGCTGTTAGCCATGTGTAAGGATTACCAAACCAATGGGAGCTGTTGGGCTCTCAGGGGCACATCTCAGTGAGTTTCAGTTTCCTCAGGGGAGTAGCTAGTCCTGATGCATCCGTGGTTTGAAACAGCCCATAATAAGCCCCTGCCTTTGCCAATGGCAACATCAGAAGCGACAGCACAGAGGAGAGTTGGGATGCATCAGAAAAGGATGCATCTCCAGAACATTTTGTTCCTCTGGCAAAAATAAAAACAGATATGAGGATATGTTTATCAGCAACAATGTTATATAATAACAACCATACCAAGATATCACTGAGCATGTCATCTTGCATATTGATTCCTATTTCCATGGTTTTCTGTTCACAGTTTCATAATTGAAAAAAAGCTTTGAGCCATTTCTACTGAGTGCATACTGACTGACTCATGCTTATACAACATGTTCTTTCTATACAGGTTTTTTACTCTCATGACTCTGGAATTTCTGTGCATGCATTTTGTACTTCACACAAGACATGCTAATCCTATCAAGGATTTAAAACGCTGAATCATAGTGATGTGTTAACACATTGGCTCAGTTACAAGCCTGCGCACATCATTCAACGAACCATATCATTTATATGATTATTAAAGAACATTCACCTCCTCTCTTTCATACAAGACTTAAATGTTGTCATTTTCTCAAATGCAGCCTGCTGCATTAGATGTGTGCGCTCGGCTGGTGGTCATGTGTCTAAGTGTACCCTCTTTGACAGGGAAGACAGTACTCCTCATCAGTTCTGTTGCCCGTCCTCAGGTTATGAAAGGCCTTCACGTTAACTGGCAGAGACTGAAGACTATGGGATTCACCTCCAACCAGCCATAGAGGATTTTTCCCCCCCCTTTTTTGCTCTCTTTTTCCTCAGCTCGCTGTTTGTCTGTGCCTGTGCTTTCAGCTTTAATTCAAAGCCAAAGCTGTAGGAGTGTGTCTGCAGTTATTATGGATCTCTCCCCTGCTCATCCTCCTTGTGTCTTTCTCTCTCTCTTACTGGTTTCTCTTCCTTCTTCTTCTTTTCTCCTCTGTCCCTTTTTTCCTCTCCACCTATGTTCTTTATCGCAAATTTTAGGCCTGGGGTTAAACAGCTGTTTTGTAGAATCTGTGCGACGCAAGGGCTTGTGCTCATGCAAACTGTGCCGTAACTTTCATGTAAAGATTCTCTCCCCAGAGCACCCCTGTAGATATGATATGAAATGCTATTATCTGCCCTGTAGCATAACTAACATGCTAGTCAGACACTCTCTAGCTTCTGTGCCTCCTTCTTAGCCAGTAATGGTATCTCCCTGCTCACTGCAGGAATTTTGTTTTTATCCCAAATAGAAGAGGAAGCAAAACTGTGTGAAAACACCAGTGAAGCCCATATGCAGAGAGTTCTTACAGTATAAATCATCATTGTAAATCATTCTCATGTTCAGTTTTAAACTGCATTTTCCATGCAGTCGTCATAAACTGTGTTTAATGATCTAAAAATGAATGTTGTTTTTGTGTAGGGATGTTCAAGTTGGCCACTAGAGAGCTGAGGTCTGCCATTTATTGAATGCTTCTCTGATGCGGTATAAATAAGACATAAATGAATTTCCATGATGCATTGTGTTGATGTACTCTGAGTGAATCAGCATGCCTGTCAGACTCCTCATTCCTCCGATCACATCAGCTCATTGGTTCCCAAGCTTTGAAAGCATAAAATGATACTCCCATCTTCCACCAGGGGGTGAACTTTTCTAACACATCCTTTCAGACAGGCTGTCCTTTACACACAAGGATAATTAATATGAGCTCAGGTTCCTCTGTATATGATAACTCCTAGTTATCATGATGTTTTTATCATGGATTTTTCGTTCAACATACCTTTTACCTTGTGCCAGCTTACTCTGTCATCTATGATGTTGATTATATCTCAATTATATCTGAACAAAGGTTCAGGGTTAGGCTTTAGGCTATTGTCCAATCAGGTTTTTTTGTGGGTAGGATGGCCACCCTGCAAACAAGTTGATCTTAAGGTCCACTCAACTGTCATCATCTTTAATGTCTGTATAATCTTTTACATCCTTCCTCCAGGCTCTTATGTGTTGTTTCTCCAGTGTATTGCACAAGCTGAGCAGGACACTCTATCCACTACTTTTCATTCAGCTTCCTGTTTCACCCTTTCTCACATACTGTTGACCGGAGGATTTTCTGCACTAGGCTTATTGACTGCACATCTCCAGCTCAGAGCAGATCATGGTGAAATCTTTAGGGCAGCTTATCAGTGATTGACTGGGTCAGTGGCAGGGAGAAGAGGGGTCCTTGCAGTGTAATGCTTAATATCAGCCCACATCAGTGTACTACAGTATGATGCACCAGGAGCAATGTGGAGAGAATAAGAGCTTGTCACAAGGCTTTTCACATGAGGTCATTCATTTAGATTGATTACTGAGTAGATATGATTGTCTGTCTTTTATAGCCTTTTGATCTCTGAAACAGTGGAGCTTCATATTGATCCACCTGCAGTAAAATGATTTTAGTCAGGAAGGAAGGAAATATCCGCCATATTTTTTCATTCGTACCATACTTTTTGCACAAATATTGACATATAAACACATGCTTTTGTTAGCTTTATGTGACCCATTTCATAATCAACCTTGAATCTGACCTCTGCAGACACGCACTGACATTGGTTTTCAAGGTTAATACTGACATCACAGGTGGAAAAGAGAATTCATAAGGAGTAGTCTAGATCTGCTCAATTGGAAAAGTATGTGAGATAACTTCTGTTGTGATTTGGCACTATAAAAATACAATTGAATTGAATTGAATTGAATCTAAATTAAAGGTGACTTGGCAAGTCCTGGTTGCCTTGCAGTCTGAGACACTTAACAAATTGGTCAAGCACGTTTGTTTCATGTTAGCCTCCTTCCTCACATATTTCCTGTCGCTTTCCACGCTTACATGTTTAAAAAATGGTAGTAATCTGTCACTGGATACACCGCACCCCTGTCAAACACTGACATATGCTGAAGGCCTATATGTTAACTCACAGCCAACAAAACGTTTAAGCAGACACACACACACACACACACACACACACACACACACACAGACCACTTCACCACACATATGGACATGCCAGTGCATACCATGTTGAGCAATCTATCCATTTTCTTATTAAATCATATCCCGTTGTGCTTGTAAACACACATACTAAGCTCTCCATCCGACAAAAACAAATAATAGCCTGTCATGTGTGCTTGAATCAAAGCCATCTGTGTTTTGTGCCAGTTAGTGCTGCAATAATTGCTCTTTTTTGCCTTTGACAGACTCTAGTATGTTCTGCTCACAGAAACAGTGGGGTTTCCACCCACACTTCCCACTGAAGGCAACTTCACATTACAAACTAAAAGGGTTCTCCATCTGGTATGACCCACATGAGTAAATCATCACGAACAGCCATAATGTGCTTTTGGAAACAGTGAGAATTTTTTTTTAAGTGCAGTCACTTACCTTTTAACTACGGCCTCAGCTGTAGTTGGGTGGGTTTTATCCCCAGTATTAGCCTCTATCTCTAAATATTATCTGATAATCAGCTCTAAAAAAGCTCTAAACTGTCTTTACTTCCCCAGAAATGACATGTAACCACTGAAATTCAGAGTACAGAAATTTACAGAAGATAACCACACTTGTTATGTAGAGAAAACGTGAAATTTCAATTCGCTGAAAACCATCTTTTATCAAGGCAAATTGAGATGAAGAGCACAGATAAAAGGCTCTGTCAGTGTGTGGTCATTTTCTGTGAGATGTGTGTAAATCAGGAGGCCTGAGTTGTGACAAAAGGCTGATGAATGGTAGATTAATGAATTCCTTAGTATCCCTGCTGTTCACACAGACTCTCAGTATAGCCTTTGTGCTGCTCTGGCCTTTCTATATATTGGCTTGGGAAAACAGAAGAAACCTATATTGTGCCAGGAGGTGTGTGAAAAGAGTCATGTGGAGATGACTTGTCAGACGAAACAGATCTAACTATACCAATTAGTGTGTTAATATGTAAATATGCACACACATAATGCATGTTTGCATATTTGTGTGTTTGTGTTTGTATATACAACTCTACTTGTCTAAATATGTGGTATTTCCAGTGTTTGTGTGTGTGTGTGTGTGTGTGTGTGTGTGTGTGTGTGTGTGTGTGTGTGTGTGTGTGTGTGTGTGTGTGTGTGTGTGTGTGTGTGTGTGCGCGTGTGTGTGCGTGGACACTGACAGTGGCTGAATAATGATGAGAGGCCCTTCCACACCCCTTTCCCATGACTGCTGGGACTGGGTGGCACTGCAGTGTGGCACTGCATCTCAGGCAGAGAAAGAACAGCACTGTGGTTGTGTTCAAATGCAAAACCCCCTTTGGCAAGAAAAAAAAAAGCAATGTTTTATGTGTCGTAAGTCTTATAGCTCTCCTATAAGCACTGCAGCACATTTGTTTAATGACACACACTTCTTTGACGAGGTTTAACATATTGGAAATTCAATTTCACCAGATTCTTTCTGCCATTGCACCATTCATATCTCAGACTTACAGCTTAACTCAGTTCATGAATTACTCTATTAACCATAACTGAGCATTTGCTCAAGAAATCTACCAGCAATTGTGTTTTCTGTAATGCTTTTATGACCTTGATGAGTCAAATAATACAACATTTCTTTTCCTTTACAAGAGCCTGACAAAACACGAGTGCACTTGAAGCTCATATTTATTTGAACAAAGCATGTGTATAAACTCATGTGGTCATACAATATTGCAGCAGCCCCTCCCCACTGAAACGCCGGCCAATCACAGGCTGCTCTGCTAGGCTTCCATTTGAAGCTTCAGTAGTACGGTAGTGTTGCCCAGCAACCAGAATCGGCACATTTCTGGGAGGTCCTGTGTGGATGGCAGCAGCTGTAAGAGGCAGAGGGAGACAGAGAGTGTAAGAGGGAGAGGATCAGGAGAAGGGGACAGAGGAGGAGAAGGTTCAGAATTTCACTGGAGGAGGGAGAAAATGAGGAGAAGGATGGTGTTGTAGGCTGAAGAAAGAGCTGCGCTGCGAGTGAGAGTAAAGACCCAACCTCTCGCTTCATTAGAAAGTTTGTTCTGGCAGCAGAAGAGGAGACAGAAGTGGAGACCATTGATAATCCTTGTTGCGTCTGTGCCTGTTCAAACAAGGATGAGTGAGTTTTGGAGGATTCCTCCTCTGCGCTCCTACACATACCAGTACCTGTGTCTGCTGGAGCGATGCAGAGCTTCGGCTGTAGCCATGATGTCTCAGAGGATCCTGGGCTGACGCACTGTGTTTAGGGACCGGCACAGAGGACAGACTGACTGACCTGGATAGGAGCTAAAAAGGAACCGAAGCAGCCCAAATAGAGCTTATTTCGGGAGGTGGATCCCGAGCAGTAATACTGGGTCCAAATCCATCCTATACAGGGTTCCTAAAAAGCCTGGCTTTTTGGGTTGGTAATGACTGAGACAGGTCCAGGAGTGATGTGGTTGTTCTGGGCGGGTTAAAACCACTCAGGCTGTCATCCAGTGGCAGTGGCGAGGCTGGAGCTCCAGAGGAGAACAGATCCGACGTCCATGCAATGGGATTCACTGGCTGAAGAAATGAGCAGGGTCCTGTGCTTGTGGTGCCATGGTGCCTTTTAATCTTGTTGGATCCCACTGCTATTCTGCCCTGTTGATTGTCTGAACTGAGGATGTGGAAGTTCAAAGCGTTTTGCCTGGATTACTGGCATGTCCTGTGTTTGCACCCACACAACAACTTTTATAAGAGGTATGTTTAAAAATGGCTGCTTTGTGCAGTCATGTTTTCGTTTAGATTATTTTTTATACTTATTGCACTCTGTTTTGGACATCTGAAAATTATTAGAGAGTGCTGTCAGGTTGTTGATGTTGTTGCCTGTGTTAAAGTACTCCCAACATTAAGCAAATCAATATGTTTTAAAACAGACTCTAGCATGGCTGATTGATAGAGAAACTGTTGTGGTGCTCAGCCCTGCACGCTGACATACTGGCTGACTGAGGGAGACATTACTCAGGGGCGTGCAAGCTGGCTGAACCATTATCGATTCCTCAGAGCGAACCAGGTTACGGCTGTTATTTTGTTGAAGCACTTGGTTAAGTAACTTGGCACTTAGAATGATCTTATTTGTGTTGGTTGTCTGTTTAGCGTTGGCACTGCTAAAAAGACAGAGATGAGCTGGCTCTGGCTGAATGAATTCATTCCTGTCCCACTGGGACCTTTCCTCATTCACCTTTCACCTACTGCATCATCTACCCCTGGTTACTGAGTCTAGCTTTGCAGCTTGCATCAAGGTTGGGAGAGAAATCCATTTTTTATGAACCTGTAATGTGCTTTTGGATTTATTCTTCTTTCACCACAACATACCAATAATGTCATCAGAGTTGATTCAGTGTCTTTTGGTGACACTTCAAACTGTAAATCACTGCAGTGAATCACAGGATGCAAGATGTATAACAGCTTGATTATCAGGGTTTCCTATTTCTTTAAACATACATACATATTAGAGGTTTTACCGCTGATGTTTTTCACAGCTTCCAGGTATGTTAAAAAGGTGCACACTCCTCACTCACACTAAATTACTCACCCCCATCCCCCTGCTGCTGTGTTGAGACCGTTAAAAACACCCTCTCATGTCTTTTAATGCCTATCACGACACAGATATCTGATGCTCTAAAATGCTATACATACACTCCAGCTCATTAAAACTGAGATGCACATTGAGCTTGTTTGCACAACACATCCACTATCTGTTGAAAATGTAAAGAAAAAGACAGACATGAACAGATTTTCCATAATGATAAAGGTGCCTTTAATGTTTGGGTGGTCTTGTGTTTGATGTTCTGTAATCTCACATGTTGTATTTCGAGCTGCAATTTCAGCTTCAAATGACTGCAGTTGCTCAGAATTGTTACTTTACTCGTATTTAAGATAATTTAGATCCCAGGTTTTATAGTTAAACAGAACAATATTTTTGGTCCAGTTTCTCCCTGCTACACCAATAAGAAATAACACGACTGTGTTTGAAGAGGTTTCCTTCATGGGCATCCCGTCGTGTAGATGTTTGATGTCTGAATCAGAAGCGAGGTGCGGTGTGAAAACACTGATCCAGTATCTGTGAAATTCAGGGCACCTGCCTTCTGTCATATCTCTCTATATGCTAATGCATTCACACATATATAAACACATAGTTTGTCACAAGCATTAGTATTCTGAAGGTGAGGATACAGTATGTCCATGATTCATTAATAATGCATCACCTATTTAGCTGGCAACTCTTCTTTGAACGTAGGCTTCAGGGAACACCCCCCCCCCCCCCAGCTGTAGGAGCTTCCTCAATACCAAATACCTATGGGATTATGATTATCTTTTTAGTTAGATTTTTTAGTTTATAGTGTTATGCACAACATTTTTTAAAATCAGACTTTCATGGATGTGTGGTCTGCTTAGTTCTTGAAAATTAATTAAATCTTTTGCTAACTGCTACTAATGGTTGATCTCAGTCAGTGACTCAGTGGGCTTTTATTTAGGCTGATTGTTCATTTTTTTCCACACACTGTGAATAAGTCATTATGTGTCTAATCCTGCAGAGTTACTGGAATATCCTGGTCATTGGGCGTAACTCATTACATTGCTTGGCCTTCAGTGTAACATAGTCAGATTGTAGCCTAGGACTGAGACTGTGTTGTTAAAGCAAGGTTAGTGTAGTAACTCAAAACAGCCTCTCCCAGCTGCTGAACTGGGGTTCACCCTCCCTCCTGCGTGGCCTTCCCATTGAGAGCAGTGTGATTGTTGGACACAGGCCCAACTATTACCATACACACAGGGACTGAAAGCTCTCTCAGGCTCTTTCTATCTCTCCATCTATGTCTATCACTCTGTTTCTCTGTCTCTCTCTCTTAGAGTCAAGACCACATAAACACAAGCGCACATCAAACACACAACATAGGCCCTGCCCATCACCATTGGGGAGCACCAGATGAGTGAAAGATTGCATTGGACGACACAAAAAGGAACAAAAAGGAAGGGGTGTCTGCAGGGAAGAGAATTGGGACTGGTGTGTGTTTCATTGTGGGTGGAGAGCTTTTGTTAAGAAGAGGGATGATTTTCTTCTGCTATATGTACTGGGCCTTTACCTTACTTGGTCATCAGGCAGCTTGCTAGAGCAGCAACTCTGAGCCCAACATAGCTGGGAGAACTTCGAAAAGGCACAGACGAAGTAACTTTAGCAGCGAAAGAATGAATTTTCTCTGTGGGTTTTCAATGGAAAGTGAAGGATGTGGGGTGTAATTTGTGGCCGAGAAGGGAGTGAGCACAGACTGTACTTTTTGTGGCTCTTTTAGGGGGGAGTTGCTGCAGTTTTGTGTTTTTTGAAACTTTGTTTAAACTTCCTCTCAAGTGCCATGCACATTTTTTTCGGGCATGTCTGATGCCTCTGGTGATGTCACTGCTATATGGAATGCGATGTGGAAGTACTGCATTTCCAGTCGAACTATAAGGTAGGAGACCATCTGGCACGGACCAGTCTGGATGGCAGTGGCCTGCAGTATAAGTGGTGGTTGTCTTTCCGACTGACCGCAGCAGTCTGTGCAGATATTTCTGACGTCTGACTGATCAAATAACATTCCTGTCTATATGCTCAAGCTTGGTGGTTTCCTTTCCAGAACCATGGAAATATATTATCACTGGCACACAGCTAAAAAAAGGCAGAGAGGCAGAGAACAGTAAAGACATTTTCAAGGTCTTTCAGGGCAGTCTACTTTATCAGGGACATGTCTTTGAAAGGACTTAAGAATAATCTGTCCATTCCTTTTTTTTATCTCTTTAAGCCTTATTATCAGTTTACTTTGTCTTACCAAAGAAGTGTACAGCAGGGATGTCCTCTGACATACAGTATTCAAATCTCTCTCTGAATGAAAAGAAACCAGCACAAAGATTATCATTATTCTGTATTACATAAAAAAAGACTTCCTTTCTTCCGCCATAGTGATAGAATTATGTAATTAATTGACTTCTTTTGTGTCTTCTTTTGTACTTTTCTGTTACATTCAACCTGTGATTATAATCATGTAGTCTGCAGGGCTACTTAATTGGTTTTCTACTGTAGCACACAATGTTGACATTTTGACATATAATCTGTCTCCTATTTTTCTTCTCTAAAATGCTCTTTTTAATATTGTTGCTGTTGTTTTTGCGTTTGTTAGTTGTTATTTGTTTTTTTGTTTGTTTTTTCTTGGATCAGATTTTAATTTCTTCTTACTGGTGAGGAATATATCATCCACTCAAACATGCTGTATATACTTTGCATACCACTGAACATACAATATTCTTACATAAAGAAACATGTATGAACCAATATAGCTACTAATCTAATAACAATAAATTAGACAATATTCATTCAACATAAAGGAAACATAAACAAGTGATATTATCATCGATCTGACTATTTCTCTCCCTATACACATTTCTGATACCTTAATACCGATCCCGTCAGTGTTGCCAGATTTGGCAACTGTTTATTTAATTAGGCGGGTAAAAATTGTTTTGGGCAGGTTTCCATGTTAGGTTTTTATTCCAGTAAATCGGCCACCCCCCTCTCATCTGATTAGTATAATTGAGACTGACAGGGCAATGAGTTCAATAGGCTCGGCTTGACACACAATGACTGATAGCTGATAACCGTATAAACCAAATGTCATTTCAGTTTATTACAGCTAAGTTCAAACCTTTTTTTTTTCCTATTCCAATTATTATTCTGTCACAGCTCTGTGGTAAAAGACTTGTCAAGGCATAACATTACATTATTTATTTAATGACTAAAATATTTTTCTTAAGTGTGGTTTTGAGTTTGCCTAATTATACCAAAACAAAACAGAAGACCAGAGGTGAGTGAAAACACCCGTTTCTAAATGAAAATTAAAAACTGGGCTACTTTTTGACCACTGGGCAGGTTCGAGGCAATCACTACCCGAAATAAGTCCTCCTCCTTATTCATCCAGCACTTCTATCAGCCCTCCATTCACAATTTGTCCTTCAACATCCCCCTCCCTTCCTACTTTCCTCGATGGAAAGAGAACAAAAAACCAAAACAAATCTTTTGAGCAAATGGAAGTTAACATCCTGCATGCTAATGCTAACCTGCTAAATGTCTGAGAGGTTAAAGTAATGTGCCGATTCATGATAGAGACAGGACAACCTGTAGCTGTGAAACCGTAGACAGCATGGTACATCTGATCTGACTGTGGTTCTGTGTCAGAGTACGACAAGAGCATTACTTATTTAATGTGTGTGGATCTGGAACTTGCCTCCTTGTCCCATAGTGAATATCCATGGGACGGAATAGAGGAGGAAATTCTGCAGATTCTCATCTGAAAGAACTGGGGTGTTAAACATCTCCCAACAGAGCTACACTTCTTCATAATAGGTAAATGGCTCTAACAGGACTTAACTCTGGGGACATTAGCACAAATCGGTGTTGGCTTGTGGCGCTGGAGAGTAGGTGATTCAACATGCTGCTTGTAGATCAAATGAGAGCAGGCACTGACCCCTTTGTAGGTCCCCTGCTTTGGTACACTGGCTTTATGACAAGTGAGGACTTTTTTTCAGGGGAGGGTTGAGAAGAACTGCTTGTAATGGAAAAGTAGCAACCTGCCAAAGCGAGCTTGCAAGTTCCACTGTGGTGAGTGAAAAAATACTCCCTGGGGTGGAAAAGCTTAGACGTGTCTAGGATGGAAGCTGTATTCTGGTCAGAA